ACCCCTAAATATAAGGGTAGCATAACTGTATGATACAAAACCTGGCTATAGTTTATATCAATCATTAAATTTTATTATTGGAAAATACTTTGAATAAATATTTTAAAAATAAATTCAAATTTAGTTGATGTTAATGATTAATATTCTTTAAGAGAAAGAGAGTACAATTTCTTTTTCTATTAATCTAAGTCAGTGGCATAGTGTGGGTGGGGTCAGAGGGGTAGTTGCCTCGGGCACTAAATTTTTAGGGGTTCAAAAAAATAAGGTTGAGAAAATATGTAGGAAACTAGAATTTATAACAACTAAGGAAGAGGCACAATAGTTTAAATTTCTCTAGGTGTTCAAAACCCACCATATGCCACTGATCTTAAATAATTAGACATGTTATATTGCAGCTCATCAATTCAACTTAAAATAAGTAAAATATCTTTCTTAATCAGTTTCTTAAAACATAAGTAATTTTCAAATCAGGTTATGCATAAATGAAAGAAAATTAGAAGAGGGAAAAAAAAAGTAACCACAGGTAAATGAAAGATGTCATTTTCCATAAATGATTTTGCCTTTTGAGATTTCCAAGGTATTATTTCTTTAAATATTTGTTCACTAGTGTTATTCCTTTAAATATTTCAATTGTTACATGATTTGGCTTATGTAAAATAAATGTATGTTCAGACAACTCCAATGTTTGCCTTTTGTGTGTGTGTGTGTCTGTGGTGTACATGCACACATTTGTATCCGATTGTAAAATCATCTTTAAAAGAGTATAAATCTCTAATGAAAATTTAACCAAGAGAATTGCTGAAATGAGTAATGTAAGAAAATCCAATACAAAGGATGTCTAACTATTGATAAAGTCCATATTAAGAAAGGAAGAAATTATATAACTGAAAAACACAAAAATAATTAAGCATCCAGCATTTTATAAATTAACAAAAGAATGTTACAAAAAACACTTTTTCTTTAAAATAATTTTAGTAACAATATCAGAGGGAAGCGTAAAAGAAAAATATTTTAAAAACTTACAACAAAATGTGATTTTGCAGAAAAATAATGTTTTGATTTAAACTGAGAATGAAAATAAACTTGTAGAAACAGTTCATCTTTCAAGAACTGAAAAACCAATAGCCTATATCCAAAAATCAACAAAAAGTAAGGCAGATCTAGTAATAATAATATCCAATGAATTCTCGATTCACAGAGTTTTTTTCCAAAAAATATATATTGAAATATCCACTTTACTGTTTCTGAACATTAACATAAACAATAGAATTTACATCTAAAAAGCAAAATTTTTGATTGCAGATGTAATCAAACATGCAAATACAACTTATATTTAAACATAAAGCACTTTGGCTTCATATTGTTTTCACAATAACAAAAAATACATAAAAAAAAACAAAAAAAAAAAAAACAGACAAATATCAACTATATTTAATCAGAAAAATGTCAAAAATAATTTTCTCAATTTTATATGTTGAGAATAAATAATATACGTATGTCATTTACTCAAAAAACAACTTGATTGAAGAATTACTTTTGTTAAGTCCAATTTTTTAATATGATTTAACAGTAAATTAATATAAAAAAATATTTTCATCTCAGGAATGTGAGTCAATCAAAACTAACTTTATGAATACAATTATATCGCATTCTTGTTTACATAATAAGTACAAACCTTTTTTTTCTCTTATTTTCTTCCACTGTTAACAATTGAGTTTTTATTATATTTTATTAATTTAAGACACAAAATTTATTGTTCTCTTTTATACTAGTTTTTCCACTCTACAGTTTGTTTCTGCACTGAACAGTTTAATTTATTTTCTTTGCTTATCATGTAAGTCAACTAATTTTCTGAATAAAAATGTTCTACTGACTTTATTCCAGCTTGACTATAATTCTTTTTATTACTGACCAACTCACTTTATAGTAATTAAACAAAATTTACTTACAATAATATCTAGAAATACTGAATAAATTTAAATTCTAAATGAAGAAAAAAGACAAAATGGATTAAAAGAAAATTTGATAAATATAAATGTAATGCATGTAAAACTGCATATTTTATAAGCACATAAAAAGTGTCTATAAACTTAGCCATTAAAATTGTAAATATAAACTAGAACTTAATTATCAAAAGGCATAAGTACAAGAATGAACTAATGCTGCCCAATCCTCACTGTCTGGCTTCATCAGAGTTCAAAAGTGCTTACATGGCCTTTTGGATGATGAATTATTCTCCATACCACAGACCCTTATCTCAAGAGGATGATTACCTAACAACTCCACTCTTGGTCTCTTCAAGTCCTGTGTCAGCTGATATCTATCCTATATGCACTCATAATATACATTCCTTACTTCTCCAGTCCCTTGCAACAATCTCACACTCAGCATCCCTCTACCTTGAGCTTTGTATTCAGTGAACAAACAGGGAAAAAAAAAAAAAAAAAATACAATATTACATACATGGTGAAAAGAAACTGCAATATAAACACACCGACTGATAAGCGTATCAGTTTTTTTAATCTTTATTTTAATAGTTATCCTTTTCAGCCCAAAGAAGGTTAAAATATAAACCAATATTATGAGCAATTATTTCCTTAAGATTTTTTAATAAAACAAGAAATATTAACTTCATTATTCATTTAATTTACATACATCCACAAAAGAGAAAAATAATAAAAAAAATGTTTTATTTAAATGTAACTAAAAAATAACTTGTGTATATGAGACTGGAGTGAGTGAGTGAGTGAATGAGTGTCTTCATTTTTTTAAAAATGAGATGACATCCAGGTGCTAAATGTTTGGAAAAGGAATTGTGGGTGAAAATAACAAAAAGTTAACATGTGAACAATCAGTGATTTAAAGTGAGTTATACAAAATAAACAAGGCAGTCATGCTTTTTTCAAATAAACAGTACTTGAAAATTATATATGAAATGAAATAAACACACAACAGTAAAAATAACAAGTCCATTAATATAAAGTAATGATATTAAGGTGTAAAAAAATAAAAGCATTCTGGTAGTTCTCTACATAAAAGTTAAAATATTTAATACACATTCTTTTAATATTGATTTAATCAATATTTTTTTATCTGTGCTTGAACAGACAAGTGGATTCCTTTGATGTCCTTGTATTAAGTCAGAGAAATTAAGCACTGTTATCTTCTAAAATATAGTGTCATGAAAAACAAACAAAAAGTGATTTTTTTCTTTACATTTAAAAATAATTAACTAAAAATAAAAATAATTAACTAAGAATAAAATACTAGTTTGTTCATATTTATTTATGAAGAAGTAGTTTGATCATAGACAAAGTGTTTATATCAATGAGTTTTATTAATATTGATGGAAAGATAATTTGGAGAATTTACAAATGTAATAAGAATATTAAATTTGTAGATTTGTGACAACTGTGGTAATTATTTCAAAATTTTAAGATTAAAATTTACTTAAAATTTGTAATAATTTATGAAGAGAAATTCTGATGAAATTTAGGTCCAAGTATAGAATAATTATTGAATTATTTATATCAGTTCAATTTTTCCTTCCTTTTTAATTTCTTATGAGTACTTGTAATTTTATGTATGATTAGTGCATTATTAGCTAAGTTTAGAAAATATGAATTTCAAATGTGACGTTTCACAAAATAGAAATTTAATGATGCATTTATAGACTTTAATAATGAAAAAAAAAGGGATTCAGATTTTATCAGTAATTATAGTATAATGTCATGAGTTATGATGACAAGACAAAAATGTTTATGAATAGCCAAACAAAAATTTTAACAATGGGCAAAGTAAAATTGAAAAAATAATGCAAAATAAGAACAAAAACTAAGCAAATTAAAAGTTAAAAAACAGAAATTATAAAATAATATTGATTAACAAAGCATGCAAGAAAAACTTGAGAATTTACAGGAATATATTTTCAAAAGTATGTTCAGAAAACTCTGGGAAACCTACACCGATGATTATTAAAAATGCACTATCTGCAAATGACAAGTTAGCATAATTAAAAATACTGTCTCTGGTAGCTAACTATATGAGCTTAAATACAATTTAGAATTATTAACTTTAATCAAAGAAATGAATAAGTATCAGTGAACTGAACATATGTCTATGATTTTAAAAGCATACTGGATAAGATTCTAACTTTACACAATTATTCACAGCTACATAGTTGTAAATTAAAAATGTTTAAAATGCTCTGAGGAATTAATAATGTTACAATAAAAAAACTGAAGCTATTTCTGTCTTTTTTTTTTTATATGCAAATTGTCTACCAGGATAGAAGGTATTCATTCCTTTGTAAGCTAAATATTAGTCACAGCAGTAAAACAACAAATGGTAACTGTCATCTTAAAAGAAAAGAAATAAAAATGAACAACTTAAATGCTTTAGTTGGTAAAGAACAAATACACATTTGACATGATGAATTAATGAAATGATATTTGGTAAAATTTAAGATAATCAAATTATTTTGAAATCTTCAAATCATAAAAAGAATATAACTTAAAACAGTTTAAAAATATGGGACCATTTTTCAATTATCTATTTTTAGTTCCGAAAGTGTACTACATAATTAAAACTGTGTAAAAAATAAACTACTTTCTCTAAAAAGAAAAGTGAGGGAGTAACTTAAATTTCCTTTTTTCAGAATATGATATAATGCAAGTAGAATAAACAAAAAGCAGGTGCAGTTTCACAATAAATACCTGTTGAAGTTCAAAGGGACAACTGAATATTTTATTGGATAATAAATATCAACTTCAGCAATGAAATAATAGTTACAATAAATAAAATGCAGTGTTTAAGAACACAACATTTTCATAAACATTAACAACTTTAAAAAGATGAAAAACAATTAAATAGACTAATATTTTAACAGATTTATTTAACAGTAAATCGAGCTTTAAAAATAAAAAAAAATATAGACTTAGTGTCAGATAACATTGCACAATATCCCAAACATGACTAAAACTAATTTTATCTTTCAAAACTTATAAAATACTTTGTTCATGAGAGGTAAAAAAAAAGCCTGACCAGGAAAAGAAATAAGGTGTGATAATAGGAAAACTAGAGGATCAACAACAATAAAAATGCTTACCTTGTATTCAAAATTAGACACCTCTAAGTAAATCACTTCAAGTATTCGACTGAGTCGAGTCAGTGGTAAATCTGACCACCATGTCTTTAAGACTGACGTGTCTGCATTCTTAAGTAACCAGAGAAAGCAAATCAGGAGATTGCGAGTGGCTTCAGCATTCAGCATACATTTCCTGGTCTAAAGGGAGAAAATAAGATAAGCATTCAATTTAGCATCAAATATTAAATACATGTATGAAATACAAATGATTGCAACTAATTTACTTAATATTAAAAACGGTTATTCCCTTTCCAATAACAAGAAATAAAGAAATCATTAAAGTCTTACCTTTGTTCCACCATCAGGAGGTTCAAAGCCCATTCCAGAGACTCTTTCATAAACACTTTGTCCAGCAATGGCCATGGCAACACGTTGGTTAATGCGGTCGTTTTCACCATCTAAATAATCACGGGAACGACTATTCATGTTAGGATCATGAAGCTGAGGCAGAGCTTCGATAACAATTCCTATGAGAGGCAAGTAAAGAGCAGCCAAGCGTGCTTTTATTTCAGGCTCCATATAACGGGGATCCAAGTCATGATTGTATAATAAATTTCGAACAACATTAATCGCTTTGTGGTGGATAGCTGGGTTACTGTGAACAAAGAAAAATAATGCACAGTATGAAAACAAATTAATATAATTTAATATACAATCAAATTAAACCTGTCTTTCAATCTGTTTAGTTATGAGATTTAGAACAGAAAAACTATTTTAGACAATTATAATAATAAATGCTAAAGTTTATAAAAGGAAGAGGACTACAGTACCAACAAAACATTTCCATTTAAAAAAAACTTTCAAAACACAAATAGACAGCAAATGCCTAAGCGGTAACTCCAAAATGCAACAATAAAGTGACGCAAAATACAATAGGGAGCAAGAATTTATTCTCAGTCTTTGTTGAGAGCCTTTAAAATTTAAACTAATAGGCTGTATCCCTTCAGGTAATCATGGTTCCCCGCAAATTTTGTGGCTTTAAACAATGTTTGTCTTCTTACTATCCCTCATAGTCCGTTCTGCTATCCATTTACACAGGCTTGTTAAGTAAACTGATCATAGCTCTCTACAACATCCTATCTCTTGTAGCCCTAAGCAATATTTATCCCTCCTACTCTGTTCTGCCATCCATTTATACGAGCTTAGATAGTTATTCAATGTTTCTCTTTGTTACTCTTGTCTTCGATATTTTCTATGAGTATCAAATTCTCTAATTCCTCCTCATTCTTTTTTCCATTTTAGGTTAGTAACTAAACTGCTCCCCCTTTTCTATATTGGTTAGCAATCCTACACAACAAAACAAGACCTATCAAAATGTAAAACTTCATAGTCAACAGTCAGCTAATTAGGTGGTGTACCAATAAAGTCAAGGTGGAGAAAATAGTAAGCAACCACTTCACTATTCCAAGACAAATCATGGTTATACAAAAACTCAAGAATATGTTTAGTAAATACAGATTACAATTTCTAGTAACTGTAAAATTAATAAAAAGCTTAAAATATTATCAATTTACATTTGATTGTCATAGCAGTATAGAATACAGAAACAGACAATACAATTAAATATGGACAAGTTCACAATTTCTTCAATACATTAACAAAAGAAAAATATACTTACTGAGTATCAAAAGCAGCTGCAAGATCAGAAAGGACAAGGCCAGCGAGGAAATGCTGTTGCCGAAATTCCGTAGTCAGATCAAAGAAAATGCCTTTATCGGTGAGTGTGTTAGTAGATGCATAAGACATTTGTGAATTGGTACTTGCCACACTAGGTGAAGGGCTGCATGGTGCTGAAGGAGTCAATGGTGTCCCAAACGGCAAATTCAGAGCAAAGTAATGCTCATGACTGCAAAGGATACGCAAGAAATCCAACCGCAGCATCATTAAAATAGTTGCATCTGGCAGCATGGCAATTTGATTGGCCATCTGAAGAAATTGGAAGCAATTGTGAATAGAAAATAATGTTTTATATTTTCATTAAATTGTAATTAAAAAAAAAGAAAAAAAAAAGTAAAATTTTAATTATGACAAGATATATAAATCTAGGTTAGTCATTGGTTTATCATGAAAAAAGCAATGTAGCCTCAAACTAGAAATCTAATTTTCTTAAAGACTATAAAATAATGATTTAAATTAAACCAAATTAAAATTCTAAACATTCACTTGATAAGCATGAATAATCTGTATATCACATGATGCATACTACAGAACAGAATAACAAGTAAGCCTTCTTTTATTATAATTCAAAAATATAAGTGACCATGAAATATAATTTTTTTCCTTATATAAAAATATTATCAAATAAAAAATTTTACTTAAGCTATTTCAAAAAGTAAAAATTGTAGACAAATTCTTTGTTGCAATCATTTTCTCAACAGCAGCATTTTTTATAAAAAGGTATTAATATAAATTTTTGTTATGCCAAAAAATAATAAAATAAAATTTTGAGACTGAAAAAACTATTTTGTCATGAGTTAGAATTCAACAAATTATTACTTGAAAGTAGTGACCATAAATAAATCTTGAATTTTGAATCATCATCACGAGATAGCAATAGATAACTGTCAGAATCTCCACACCTGAAGATTGCATTAACTGCATGAAACTTCAAGTAGTGTTATCTATGTATATTCACTAATACATACTTATATCTCTGTAACACCTGAGGAATAAATATACTTACATAGATGCAAGTATTTGTGCATGTATGTACATTTTTATCCTACCCATTCCTCCCCCCTTTCTCTCTCTCTCTCTATATATATATATATATATATATATATATATATATATATATATATACATACACACACAAGGTAACCAAAAAAGTTCTGTCCGTTTTTTGATTAGTCATTGAATGAAGTTGAAATATATATGAAATGCGTGTAGCAATTGTTTTCAAATTCAGACAGCTGGAAGTAGGAACATCAGACATTATAAAAAACACGCGCACTGTGCCCAGCCATCAGTTATAAGCCGGACAGCTGTGAGAAGGATGGAAGTGTCTAGAGATCTCGTTCGGGGCTGTTTGCTTTACGACTTCAAAGTGGGCTTATCAGCAGCTGCATCAAGTCACCACATATGTCAAGCGTTTTGGAGATAGTGCTGTGGACGTACTGCAAGGCGTTGGTTTCGAAAATTCAAATCGGGAGATTTCTCTCTCCATGATGAGTCTCGCAGTGGACGACCACAGGTCTTGAATGATGGAGTCCTGAAGGTGGCCATTGAAGAAGACAGTAGTCTAACGTGTGGTGAACTTGCAAGACAGTTCAACGTTTCCGATGAAACAGTTAGACTTCACCTGCACCGCCTAGGTAAGACGTACAAACTGAGCAAGTGGGTTCTGCAAACGCTGTTGGAGGTCCACAAGGGACAACGAGTGGCAGCCTGTGTACCGCTGCTTTCTCGCCACCGTACCGCATCCTTATTCAATCGAGTGCTTACCAGTGATGAAAAGTGGGTTCTGTATGAAACTCCCAAGCGTTCCAAACATTGGTTGTCTCCTCAGGATGCTGTCCCTCACACCACAAGACCGACTATGCACCCATGCAAGATTATGCTTTGTGTCTGTTGGATAGGTCTTCAAGTGGTTCATTATGAACTGCTACCAACGAGCCAAACGGTCACTGGAAACCTATACTCACAGCAATTGAAACGTGTGCAACAGGCATTGCGCCAGAAGGAGCCAGCACAGGTGAATCACAAAGGTGTGCTTTTCCTCCATGACAACGCCAGGCCACATGTCGCATGAGTGGTCAGGGATACCATACAGCAACTTAGGTGGGAGACTTTGTGCCATCCACTTTATTCATCTGACCTTGTGCCATCCGATTACCACCTCTTCCACTCCCTGGATAATCATCTTCATGGGATATCCTTCACCAATGAAGCAGACTTGCGCAAAGCCCTCACGGACTTCTTTGCATCAAAATCCCCCCCGAGTTCTACGGCAAGAGCATTGAACAGCTGGAGACATGTTGGCAGAAGGTGCTGGATGCCAATGGCGATTACTTCGCAGACTAAATATAAGTTACACATACTGTGAAGCGTTTTCTTTTATTCCTTTAAAAACGGACAGAACTTTTTTGGTTACCTTGTGTATGTATATATATATATATATATATATATACACATACACATACACACACAGACACAGACACACACACACAAAGAGGGCATTTGAGATGACACCTTTAGCTAGTCATAAATAAAAACAACCTCACATAATGTCATATGACATACTCATTTCTCTTTCGGGTTTCAGAGCATTAACATGGTAGCTTACAAGTTGATACAAGAAATGCAAAGGCACAGTGTTTGTGGCACTGTTTGCCAACCACTGATAGCCAGCTTCTTGTAAGTAGCCAGATCTGGAAGTCTCTGGTAGAGACATGTCACCTGTGGTCAAGTGAAAGAAACATTCTCAATGGTTAGATATTGTAAGAACAGCAGAATATGTTCAGCTACAACTCCAGCAAGTCAATAAAGTTATCACTGAGAAGGTCAGTCAAAATGACAGTATTCACTATCAGATTTGTGATGCATGTGGACATCAGTAACCAACTCTATGAGAAGAGAACAGTTCAAATTGACAAGAGCCAGAACTGTGTGATCCAATCAAAATCTTGTTTGAGGAGCTGGGCATGAATAGGTTCTTCTCCATACAGAAGGGATGACAGGTGTTTTTGTGTAGAACTCCTGGTGGTACTCAAGTGATACACATCAAGCTCACATTTTCTGAGATGGTCTTGGAAGTTGTGAGCAATGAACGCTTTGTCATACCACTCCACTTTTTTTCTGGAGTGCCTCAGAGTCAATGTAACTATCTATGCAGAGGTGCTGGACATGATTACCCAGGGGAGGTTTTATATGTTCCAGCAGGTCTTGTCACACTGCCACATGAGCCCAAAATGACAGATCAAGAATTTGTTATGATCTTGATATTGCTAATATATGACCTACTACCTATCCTGATTTGAATCCCAAGGAACACAATGTCTGGGACATTGTCAAGAGGGACAGAAACCAGCAACTGCCACAATAATAAAGAGTGACTGAAGGCCACCATCATGGACATGATGAATGAGAATCACCCAATCCGTGCATGCATTCACTTTCAAGACCACATTGTAAGGTGGTTTTATTGAATAAATCTCAGAATGATCAAACATTAAAATCTATTTGAAATTGGCTCCTTAGTCAATCTGGGAATTTTTCAGTATGTGTATGCAAAACCTCCTAAAACTCTTTTTCGAAAAATGAAAATTGAATATACAGTAGAAACTTTTAATTTAAAAAAAAAATGTTTGAAACATTTGCACATATATATTTTAGATATCATGCAAAAAATCTATACAAGTAGCCATACTATAAATTTCAGCAATTTTTGTTATAATATCAACCAAATCAAATAAATAAGTTTCTCTTTAAATCCTTGAAACTGCAGTGTTACAGATTCATTACTGGAAGTAAGTTAATTTACCAGAGAAAGAGACTCCACTATCAAAAGATATCCTGTTTTATGGACAACTCAATTTCAGGAATGAGATTTTATTAATACAGTGTATGGCAGAAATAACTCCCACATAAAGTTAAGACATTAGCTAGATGAAGACATTATTGCCATTAATACCTTACCATTATGTGGGAGGTATTTCTGCTGAACCTGGTACAAAAATTGTGTAAAATTAGCTTTTGAATTAAAATATATATATATATTACACACACTATTTACATTATTCAGACTATATATATATATATATATATATATATATATATATATTCTGCACATTTCTACACATTTTTTTTGCTCTATCATGCTATTAATGGGAATATTCAATGCCAAACAGCATCAACACAAAATTGATTTTCTTCAAATAATAGTAATTAAAATGTAACGGAAACTCTTCATTTTACTTTTATTATTAGAAAAAAATTATTCCTCTAACTTAAAGTTTGACTACAAGAAAAATCAATGTTGCTTATCCCAGATGGTTATTAAGATACTAAAACAAAGTGACAACAAATGTTAAATAAATGGATAAAGAGGCAAGACAAAGAAAAAAAGAAAAAGAAACTTACCGCTCTGCAATATTCACTGATAAGGGCAAATACAACACCACGATCCATCAATGAGAGGATATCATACAGAAAGAATGCTAAACTTGTATTCAATGTTCGAATCAAAACCTGATCCTATAATCAGAAATAAATTAAAAGAAATAATTTCTAAAATTTTGTACATAAAACAAATAAGATGCAAGCTCTCATATAATAAAAAAGGATTTGTTATTCTCAAGAAAATGTGTTAATTTAAACAAACATTATCATAAAGCTACATATCTGCAGTAATAACAAAGCCTATTTTTTGTCCTTTAATGAAAATATTCACTAGATATTAAATACTTAGTAAATATCTTACCTTCATAAACCGGTCAACTATGTCCTTAATGAGGTTTCGCACCAGCTGACAAACATCTTCCAAGAAATGGTCACTGAATCTCATTGCTCGAGGAGCATTAAGTTTGTCAGTCTTTGCAAGATGTTCAGCCATTCCTTTAACCTGATATCAAAAAAATATTACTTTATGCAACTGTAAGTATCATTAATTTGAATATCATTCACAATTTTGTCAAGCATCTACTACACACCATGTCAGCTCTATGGAATCAAATCACTCATTTCCTCTGTCGTCCAAATATAAGAAAGTGCCACTCAGACATCTATTCCATAATAAGAAATGCCTCTTTGCAGAACAAAATCCCATGTGGGTGCATGCTTCTCTGAATAATCTTGACCTCTTCAACTTAAGTGACAATCTTTATCTTTCTTACCCATCCTCATAATTTATAATTTTCACTTTCTATCATCTTTTACATTCATATCACATATTGCATTCAGTATTACCATAACCCTTGAGTAGTTCTCAAACTTTATATTGGGTGAAATTTTATATTTAAAGAAAAAAAGAAAAGAAAAAAAGAAAAGAAAAGAAAAGAAAAGAAAAAAGAAAAGAAAAGAAAAGAAAAGAAAAAAGAAAAAAAGAAAAGAAAAGAAAAAAGAAAAAAAAGAAAAGAAAAGAAAAAAGAAAAAAAGAAAAGAAAAGAAAAAAGAAAAGAAAAGAAAAGAGAAAAAAAGAAAAGAAAAAGAAAAAAAAAAAAAAGAAAAAGAAAAAAAAAAAAAAGAAAAAAAAAAGAAAAAAGAAAGAAAAAAGAAAGAAAAAGAAAGAAAAAGAAAGAAAAAGAAAAAAAAAAGAAAGAAAAAAAAAAGAAAAAAAAAAGAAAAAAGAAAAAAAAAAAAGAAAAAAAAAAGAAAAAAGAAAGAAAAAAGAAAGAAAAAAGAAAGAAAAAAGAAAGAAAAAAGAAAGAAAAAAGAAAAAAAAAAAAAAAGAAAAAAAAAAGAAAAAAAAAAGAAAAAAAAAAAAAAAAAAAAAAAAAAAAGAAAAAAGAAAAAAAAAAAAAAAAAAAAAAAAAAAAAAAAAAAAAAAAAAAAAAAAAAAAAAAAAAAAAAAAAAAAAAAAAAAAAAAAAAAAAAAAAAAAAAAAAAAAAAAAAAAAAAAAAAAAAAAAAAAAAAAAAAAAAAGAAAAAAAAAAAAAAAAAAAAAAAAAAAAAAAAAGAAAAAAAAGAAAAGAAAAAAAAAAAAAGAAAAAAAAGAAAAGAAAAAAAGAAAAGAAAAAAAAGAAAAGAAAAAAAAGAAAAGAAAAAAAAGAAAAGAAAAAAAAGAAAACCAAAAAAAAAAAAAAAAAAAAAAAAAAAAAAAAAAAAAAAAAAAAAAAAAAAAACAAATAGTCTAGGTTAAATTCACTTTAGTGAGTGGGAATTATGGTGACAAGCTAACTTTTCATCTTTCTGAATTAATACAGTTTATTTAAAATGTTCAATCAAAAGAGTAAGTAAATGAAAGAATTTCCAACTTACCATAAGTTCCAAGAAGAACCAAGCATTGGAAAGAGTTGCTTCTCGGATTGATCCACTTGCCATTACCCACTGGATGGCAAGTTCCTCATGGACAAGCTAAAAAGAGAGAAAAAAAAAAAAAAAAATTATAATTCTCTTCCATTATAGAATCAAAACATACTCAAAGACAAAAAAATAAACAAATAATAGAGAGATGTTTTACCTTCTTGCCCCTGACTTTAGGGAATGTGGATGTGCCATATTCAGCACCTCGCATACTGCTAGTACGATCCAGTAGGCCTTTCGCAACTGAAATATTGAAAATACCATTAATATAACAAATCAGCTGTTAACAGACTAATACAGTGCATAATTTTCTTTGTAAGTAAAGAAAACAATATCATTTGAAAGAATGATACAAATTAACAGCAGTTGAACTGATAGCAAAATTTTATTTTGTTTAAAATCACCTTAATTTATATATAGATAGGTAAATTATATAGGTGTATATATGCTTAATATATAAAAAAAAATATATAAAATATGTATGAATCATATTAAAACATATATATTTTCTCTATTTTAATTCATTCATTTTATAATCTATCCATTTTCTGTATTAGCAATCTATTTTTTCCTAAGTAAATGAACTGCTCCACTATCTTAACAGTAGGTTATGAATACTGTAATATTACAATGGTCAGGTTATGAATACTGAAATATTACAATGGTCAGGTTATGAATACTGAAATATTACAATGGTCAGGTTATGAATACTGAAATATTACAATGGTCAGGTTTCAGTTTGTGTCTGATGATTGTCACATATATGAATCTCCCTACTGCACCAAATGATGAGGACAAAGTTTTTATTTTCTAGACTCATCAGGAGTATCCCTGTCTAACTTCCCACTTAGAACTGATTCTCTGTTGAATGATATGCATATAACCCATTCCATGATTTCTGCTATCATCTCTAACCTTGATCCCCACAAATCATGTGGACTCAATGGCATCCCCGTAATAGTCATTAAGAAGTGTGCTCCTGAAGTAGCTCTTATTCTCTCTAAACTGTATAATAAATGTCTCACTGCCTCTTGCTTGTTGGAAGTCATTGTCTTGCTCCAGTTTTTAAGAACCATCTGACCCATCCAACTATTGGCCATCTGTATCTTTTTGGGAAACTTCTAGGTCCTAATCAATGCTGAATTGGTTCATCATCTCTCATCACAGGGCCTTTTCTCAGACAAGCAATATGCCTTTCATTTCTCTGGATCAACTAATGATAATCGCGGAAAGATTCTATCATGCTCAAGATAAAAACTGTGAAGCCTGGGTTGTAGCATTGGACATCTCAAAAGCCTTTGATAGGGTCTAGCATTCAGGTCTTCTTCATAAGCTGAAAAGTCATGGTATATCCAGGCACGTTTTTTGAGTTGATCCAGTCATTCCTATCAAACTGTGAAATGAAAGTTGTACTTAATGGCCACTCATCTATCAGGTCATCCCATAAGTTCTGTCCGAATTTTAAGTTTTTGTTACAATGAACAAAATTTAAATAGTATTTTATAATGTCTAATGGTGCTGAACATTATTTTTATGTTTAGATGCATTTAAACTGATCAAATTTTATTTCAGAGAACAATAAAATTAAATTTTGTTTGATTAAAACCCTGCTAACATGGAAGTACCCAAGAATCATTTGAGGCACATAATGCTTTATGAGTTCAAGAAAGGAAACTCAACAGCCGAAGCGGCTAGAAACATTCACTCAGTTTATGGAGAGAAATGTGTGAATGAAAGAACTTGCAGAAGATAGTTTGCAAAATTCAGAGGTGGAGATTTCACCCTTGAAGATGAAGATCGAACTGGATGTCCAGTCGAGTTTGATGAAAAGCTTCTTGAAGCAACCCTTGAAGAAAATCCTGCTTTATCAGTTGAGGAATTAGCAGTGATTCTCAGTTCAAACCATACAACTGTTCATAGTCATCTTCAACAAACTTCCTAAACTTGGAAAATGGGTGCCTCATGAATTGTCTGAAAACAACCTCAAATCCCGAGTTGACATCTGCTCTTCTCTCCATTCTCGCCAACTTGTTTCACCTTTTTTGGATAGACTTCTGACTGGCGACGAAAAATGGATCTTTTATCGAAATGTTAAGCGTCGTAGACAGTGGCTTGGTAAAGGGGAAGGACCACAGCCATGAATGGAACTTCATGGGCAAAAGGTTCTTCTTTCAATCTGGTGGGATCACAAAGGAATAATCCACTTTGAATTCTTACCAACTAATGCAACAATTAATGCTCAAATATAATGTTAGCAATTAGAGCGTTTGAACCAAGCTTTGAGGAAAAAAAGACCTGCTCTAGTGAATTGAAAAGAGGTGATGTTTCATCAGGACAATGCGTGACCCCACACAGCAAGAATCATGTCACAAAAGATCGAAGAACTTGGTTGGGAGAAAATTCCTCAGTCACCTGATTCTCCCGATCTTGCTCCTTCAGACTACCATTTGTTTTGTAGCTTACAGAATCATTTGGAAGAAACAGCTTTTGTAACACAGGAAGAGGTTAAAACTGACATTTGTAAGTTCTTCGAATCAAAGCCAAAAGAATTTTACAGTATTGGAATTAGTAAGCTTGTTAATAGATGGAAGGAAGTCATAGATAATCAGGGAAAATACATTGTTGAATGAATCTGTAATTAAATGTAACATTTGGTCACTTGTTTTCTTTATCCAAAATTCGAACAGAACTTATGGGATGACCTGATACATACTTTTGTACTACTGTGGGTGTTCTGCAGGGCTCTATCCTTGGCCCTACATTGTTTTTAATCTTCATTAACAACTTTTCTGATGACATCAGCTCCCAACTTGGCATCTACTCTGACAACACTACCACTTACTCTTGCCTCAATAGTAAGGCTGATCAAAGTCAAAGTCAAAATAGCAGCTGATATACAAAACAACCTCAAGACCATCATTAACTGGGGCAAAAGATGGCTTGTCAATTTTAACGCCTCCAAAACTTTAATTTCTCTCTGTTAATTATCTGAGAGACCCCTCACTGCCTTCCATCAGCCGATGCTATCCTCCAAAAAAGTGACTGATTGCGCCTGCTCAGGCTAACATTCTCAGCTGACATGATGTGGAAAGACTACATTGAATCCATTGGTAGATCAACTGCTAAGAAAGTCAGTTCACTGTGTTGGGCAAGACAATTTTTCTCTCCAGAATCTATCTTGCATATTTATGTCTACCATTCGGTCATGCTTAGAATATTGCTGCTATATATGGTCCAGGGCCCCTGCTATTTACCTGATAAGATCCAAAGAAGAATCAGCTATATTATTGATCCTGATCTGACAGCTTGACTTCAGTCACTTGCTCACTGTCATAAGGTTGTCTTTGTACCTTTTTTATAAATACTTTCATGGTAATTGTTCCAATAAGTACTTCACTATGGTACCTTGATTGTATGAATTTAAGCACAACACTATACTGGCAGCGAGATCTCATCAATTTACAGTTGAGATAGCTAGATGTAGCCTTAACTTCTATGCTAACAGTTTCTTATCTCACACTTCTTGCTTGTGGAACTCCCTCCCAACCCCATGCTTTCCAACAAACTTTAATTAGCAAAAACTTAAATGCAATGTCAATTGCTATCTACTGTCATGCTGATTGCTCTTTTCTCTTTCTCCTCATTACTAAGGTTTCTGTTTCTAATTCCTCCACACCCTGTAACTCCTTGAATGCTAGTGGCTATACTACCCTGCTTGGGGTGATACCAATTAATATATATATGTGTGTGTGTGTGTGTGTGTGTGTGTGTGTGTGTGTGTGTAGGACTCTCCTCTCAGTTTTTAGAACCAAACAGCCGGACTACTTGCCTGTGATTTGATTATAGTAATGAAGCCTTGTGCAGAGACAATCACGCTTCTTAGAAGAGCCAAATACAGAGAATTCATGCACAAAATGCCACAAGGATCCCAACCAACCATCCTCAGGTTTCAAGTTCAGAGTTGTCCTTCTAAACCAGTTGCCACACAAACCTATCAAATCCAGTCTGTCCTGTTTACCCTAGTCTGTGGCGGGAAGAAGAGATGGATTCATACCTTTCCCAAGTGTATTTGTGACATAAGTAAATGTAATAAACTCTGCTCCCCAATTTCTTAATCTGAGCTGCTATGTATTACTCAACTGTTGTAGGGGGTAGGGAGAGATAGGTATATATTTTTATTAGAATATAAAAATACAAATTATAATAATTTACATGAGAATATTCCAGCAACTTCACTGTCAGGTGTAGTAGGAGTGCTGCCTGTCAGGTCGGGATCACTGCTGCTTCGTTGATAACCCTGCTTGGAAACTGGCAGCGATGATGGACGACCTAAGGTAGCATACTGACCAGTGGGACTTCCCAAACAGAAAACTGAAAAGAATTAATAACAGAGGAAATGACATGAACAGAAAACAAAATCAACTTCTATAATACAATGTCAAAAATGAAACTTTACAGCATAGCCAGAAGGATATTTACCTGAACTAAGGTCTGGATGAGGTAGAGTGCAGTTGTAGTGGATGTAAGATGCTAGTACCATGTTGCGACCATGTTGATCATTGCGGTCTTCTAAAAGGCCATGTAATCGCTTCACTATAACTGATATTGACTCAAAACATGTCTGGCCCACATTAACTGAAACAATAAAATGCATCAATATCTTCAAGTAATACACTATTTATTTATCAACTCAATAGAATTATTAAAAGATGAACAAAGAATTAATGGCTACTTTGCAACTGATATTAAAGAAAAAAGTAAAAGGTGAATAGTGAAATCTGAGAAAAATATAATTAGTGTGTTATTTCACTAATACACTGATGTACCAAAAGTTATACGATAACAGTGTCTAAAGATCTTTGATTATATAGAATATGGCTAATGAAAAGGAGTTGGCCTCCATCTTTCACTGATTGAAAAGATATAATGCCAAGTACACTTGTTAGGTGAAATCATTCACAGCATAAAAGATTCCATATTTACTCACTGTTTTACTGTTGGTGGCAATTGCCAGCTAAGTTTCCTGAATGACTTATTCAGACATAATAAAAAATATGTATGGAAAAAAAATACTTCTCTAAATTATTTTATCTTACCAAATGTACATTCAAGACATTTAAAACTTTTTTTTCATGCTTTCTAAATAAGTATAATTTATTTTCTTTTAAAACCAGATTGTATTTTATCTCAGTGTAATTTTAATGATTTTGAACATATCTATTAAAGATATACTTTACTGTCATATTGATTTCAGTAAAAAAATTAAGATCACCTAGATGTTTAAAGAATCCTCTTTTGTGTGTTTTACTGTCTTATGACATTGGGCAATGATACATGATAGCAAGTCCCTTGTTATCAAATAACTCACTTGTGTTATCATTAGTATCATATTTTTTTTTATATTAAGAGGAAATTTATTTATTCACTATACATGACCTTTCACGTGCATAATTATTGGACACACAGAAATTGTTTTGGCTCATCATGGGAAAAGAATCACTGCTTTTCTTTTATACAAAAATATCTTTTGTAGTAACAATTAACTTTGCTTAGTGTAAAATTATAATTTCTCTTATTATTAATATCAGGAAAAAAAATTTGTCTAATCTTTAAAAACATCTTCCTTAAAATTATTTTTTCTACTTTACGCAAATTTCAGTTGTTTCTGGTAAATTTCCAAGGTAAAAATACTATTTTCTTTTATCCTACTAATTACTCTTTGCCGTTACTGTACATGACCAGTACTTTTGAAAATGACAGATACTGTAAAATAGACATTTCTGATGCATTTCATTTCTTTCATTTAAGTATTAGAAGTTATGTGGAACTACCTCCAGTTTCATATATTTTGGTTCTAACAAGAGTTTTACCAGCTTATTACAGTACCATGGAAATCATTCTACTGTTATAACCTTCTGCAGTCAAAGTTCTGGCCACTTAACCTGTGTAGGCTAGAATGTTATATTGTGGGAATCAAATTCTCTTATGTTTGCATGAATAAAAAATAGTTTACTTACTAATCTGCTCAGAAATGACCGGAGGTCTAACCATCAGTAAAATTAATTTGTCCAGAACCAGTGTCAGAAACTTGACCAAATTTTCTTCTTTGCATTTAGAAGCAAGATCCATTACACTACGACGCAACTCATTTTCAAAACCAGTTTCATTCATACGAGGATTCAGTTTCTGCTCCTGAGCTGAGTGACATAAATTCAAGAAATGATCCAAATTCTCTTCCTAAAAATATAATTTTAATAGGGTAAAAATTTAAGAAAAAAATAATACATTTAAAATTTATAAAAAAAAAAATACAATTTTTAGCATACAAATTAAACATTCACAAGAAAATCATATGTACAAATTACTCTGTATAAATTTGGTTTTAAGACATGAAACAAAGGGAAAAAGACTATTTCTAAATAAAAGACCAAAGTTAATTACACTGGAAACTTAAAATTTATAACTAGAAATATTGAATTTATTTTTACAGCTAAAGTCAATACACAACCATTTTTCTCATGTAAGTTAATGTATTTTTTGTTTTGTTTTTTTTAACAGGATTTAGACCCATGAAGGAGTTACAGGAGATTAAATCAAAAAAGGTATAATTGACATATTAAAAACAGGCTTGCAATAGAATTTATCTTTGAATACAGATTGTTTCCAAGATCTTACTTCTTTTCCATGTCACTTCAATACCAACTTTATTCTAGGGAAGTAAAGTAACAAGCCTTCAAGATTTCTTATTCTATGTCCCACTAAAAATGATAAAAAAAAAAAAAATTTTTAAGTTTACCTGCGTATGAATAGATGAGACTGAATGAATAGTGACAGAAAAGAGAGATTTATGGCTGTCAATCCATTTTATGTTTTGATTCTGAAAGAAAAATAATTTTTTAAACAGAAACATCAAACAAGTGGATAAGAATATGCAGGGGACATAATATTTCTAATACAGGAGAATTCTTTATTTATAACACTATATTTCAGTACAGATATAATAATCAGGAAAATATTGCAATTTCAAACATGCTACAGTAGAGAAATAAATTAAACAAGGCGTTTTTAAAATGGTTCAATCTTAATAAATAAAAGTTGCAACACATTATGAATAATAACACCAATTTTAATATTAAAGAGTCTTTCAAGCTCATTATTTTCCCCAAAATTTTTGTACAAATTAAAAAAAAAAAAAAAAAAAAAAAAAAAAAAAAAATAATTTAATCTGTTCTACTATACTCACATCAGAATGTATGGAATATAAACGAGGCAATTTTTCCATGGAGACAGGTAACTGAAATTCGCCAACAGCTAAGCGCCCATCACGTAGAATAGGCAGCCACTGAAATAATGTTGTTTTAAAAGTGAAAATGAGCAAGGATTGCTAGCAGGCATAAAATAAATTACAACTATTAAAATATAAAACTATTCAATTAATTTTTTTTTTAACATCTCCACATTTGATGCTAAAAACAGATATATATAACAAACAATTAAAAAGTTTTAACTGTTGCTTGGTATACATGGGAAAAAATATGAAATAACATTTACACCTCAAAATTCAACATCACTTCACATGCAGTTAAGTCATCTTGAAAGTAAGTGGTAACCAGTAACTTAATATTTTTATTTCAAATTTTCTACAAATTTTTTTTCCAGATTAACTTCAAGAAATTTTTAAAAAATCGATTAGTAGATAAGAGTGTGAAAGAAAAAGTTTAACCCTTTTTTTAGACTTAAAACAAGGATGAGATTAATGTCAATATTTTACTGATCTTTGCAAATAATATAACTAATCTAAAATAATCCAAGATAACACTTTATCATGCAATCTGTATAGCAGCTTCTAATTAAAATAATACAGCACATTGCATTTTACTATGGGAGAGGCAGATTTTTTCTGTACAATAACAGAAAATGTGTTTGCTACCAGCTGCTTTGCTAATGGCAAGATTATCAAATTTCAAAACTAAATTCTTTGTCCATTTATAATACAACATATATTAGAAAAATATTCAGTTTAAATACAAAAGTGGTCATAAAAATTACTTCAAAGTACAGGACATTTCACCTTATACTCTTTTCCTATTATCTAGGGTTGTTGCCAGGAAGAAAGGGAAATTAGCCCTTGCAACATTTGCATGTGTACATGTATATTTTAATTCAATAACAGGCATTAAAATATTTAAACAAAATTAAAAAAAAAAACTTTTAAAAAATAATTCTATTTATTATCCAATAATTTTCAAAAAGTTCAATAAAATCTTATAATTATCCGATTTTTAAGGTTTAAAAAAGTATTTACATTATTTGGACTGCTATTCTCATCTTCACTGACATATTAACAACGTTTTGGCCGTTGTACACTCCAGCCTTCTTGAGGTGATTGGAATTTCAAACCAAACTCTTTATTTCATCCACCAGAGTAAATTGTTCTAGTTTCACATGCCATGCCTCTTCCAGATGTCTCAGTTCAAGTCAACTCTCCAAGTTTTGGTTCACCACTGCTGTGGCCTGGTATTGAACTCACAACTCTTTGGGTCTAGTCACCAGATCTAACTAACAACTTTATCCACTGGGCCATGTGTCAGTGGATAAAGACATTGGTTAGATCCAGTGACAAGACCCAAACCAGCAACCTTGCTAACCATTACCTCATGCCAAGGTGCATAAATACGGAAGATCAAGTTGCTAATACATTGCTTTTTATTTGTTTCATATCTGCTTTCTTTGGATATTTCTACTTTGAATGCTTTAAAAAAACAAAATTCTTTCTTATATGAAACAATAGACTGAATTATACAAATAAAAATCAAAAATTAAATATATAAGCAAAACAATTCCAAAATTAATTAAATACTGACATTTTCCTTTTTTATGACAGAACAGGTAATCTTACCGTTTTGAGTTTTTTCTACAGCATTAATAATTAATTTTGTTTGACTTCTTCATGTATATCTTCAGTATAATCCCAGCTGCGACTAAACATTTTTAGAGCTTTCATGAATCTAGAAACCTCTTTCCTCATTTGCTAGTCATATTAAGCTCTCTTATGAGCTACGATGTTTGTTTAAATGATACATTATTTCTAATGGCTTCAGAAGGTGAAATTCAATTCAGGATACTTATTATTTTCAATGAACTTAGAAGAATTTTTTTTTTCTTCATATAAGTTAGGATATCTTTTTAATTTATATGTTAGTTCAGTTTTCTTTCATTTTCATAATTCTTTTGATGCTGATCATCTTTAGAGATCATGATGGTAGAATTATTGCTTTATTTTCCCCCATAACCAGTTGCTTAAATGAGAACAAAAATAATCAGAGTTTAGCAATGAAAATATTAGTGTGAAAACATTTAGAGAAGCTGTTTCCACCTAAATGTGGTTAGGATCGGTTGATATTATAACATGCCAACTCTTGTTAGGGGATTTAATGTTGAGCATCAAGTTTTTTATTCTTTTTTAACTATTATTATTATAACAACAATAACTACTTGGTTTGGGGATAGGTAAATATCAATTATTTATATTTAAATCTATAAGCATTCGGTTGAGGAGAGATATATTTGAGAGACTATAAATATTTTACTTAAGATCCCTCTTGTGAAATGGGGATACAGTTAGTATATTCTTGGTCCCACTGATGGGTAAGTACATCTAAATGCAAATAGATGTTACAGAGGTTTTGACAAGAAATAGTCTGACGTTGAAGAGTTTTTGACAGTTCTTATTGAATCCAAAGGATAAACATTTGGCAACAGCACATATTTTAATGCATATGTAAAACAAATTATAAATTCAAAATTTTCAATGCAATCCATCAAACTGGTTTACCAGGCAAGTATATAAATGATAATGCCATAAGGATTTAGATAACATTTGGCTGTACTTACTGTGTAACCAATAGGAAGTTCTACTGGAGAGGGCTCATTCTTTTTGTTCTGACAACTAATATGGTAAAAAGAGAACAAGAGGTGGTGACTTTTTGTCAGCTTGGCAGGCATCTTTAACTTGATTTCCTCATAGAACTGAGGAGACCTGGAAAAGAAAGAAGAAAGATTATTGGTTTCATAGCTTGATAGTATACATATATATACACACACACACACGTATATATATGTGCAGTAAAGTTAAAAGTACACCACTAAATAGTAATAAACTATTAATAAAGGATTTAAGCCATTTTCTGAAATACTGTTTTGGCTATAAAATCATTTGAAAGAAACTAATCACTTAATAACACAAATTATCAAATAGCAAACAAGTATTCACGAATACAGAAACATTTTAATTGTAACCAATATACCTAAATATTGTCATTAAACACAAACATTTTACAATAGAAAATAGTGATGAATGAATGATTATTTTCAAATTTATATAAATTAAATGTCAATAGTGATTAATATAAAAGCAAAGCCATCAGAAAAGTCCAAAGTATCACATTTACTCAGTTTATTTTAAGTAATAAATGAATTTTCTAATACTTTCTTCTATAACAATTGATTTTTTTTAAATCATTTTACTTAATTTTTTATTAAATAAGACTCTTTTAATTATTTCATTATACTAGAAGATTACTTTTTAAAAGGAAAGACTGATCCCAACTGACATCCTAAAGAAATGTGCTTCTGAGGTGGCTCCATTTCTCCTCAAACTCTACAACTATTTTCTTGCTGCTTGTTGAAGTCCTCCTCTGTAGTTCCTGTTTTTAAGAACTAGAGTTGGGGTTGGCAACCTGTGCTACACGTGGTATGCCAAGCAATTTCCAATGGCACACAGCCGCAAATGACATCCCAAAGTCTGAACCAATAACTACTACAACACAAAAAAATATTTAGCTATTTCAAAACTGCTCACTCATTGGACTCCCTGCTTGTTTCACCTTCTAAGAGCACTGCAAATAAGGACACCCACTATTAGACAAGGAAACCTTTCTACGAACATGAGTTTTTTTTTATTAATTTTGCAACTACTTACTTGAAGTACTAGTGGCATTCCCACGTTGCTTGGCATGAAATAAATTTAGAAAAAATATAAAATATATTCCTATTAGTAAATAAAAAGATTTAAGCTCTTACTTGTTATGATATGTCACTGTTGTGTAGGCTTCTTTGTAAAATTCTGGACAGCTAGATTTACCAAATATGATCTGAAACAAAAGTTCTTCATATAAATATATTTAAAATGTATTTTTTCTCTCTAAGAAACAGATTTTTTGTTTAGGGGCATAAATACAGGACAGCTGAAAAACACATATTGAAAGAAAAAAAAAAAAGTCATGAGATAATCACAATTTGATTTCTATTTTAAATTTACTTATACAATTAGAGTATAGAAAAAAAATTAAATAAGTTGAGCAACCTTATGTACTGGAATCCAATCAGGAATGAATATTTGATATATAAAATTGTAAATTAATAACATGTCAGTATGCTGCAAAATACTATACAAACATGTATTAGATATGTGCAAAAGACAATGACAATATTGCTGAGTGTATGTTAAAATAATTCTCAAAATTATTTTATGTGAAAGTAGAGGTAATAACAGCTTCCATACTTGTGTATATGATTTACATTAAGAGGTTAAATATAATCTCAAATATTTTAAGAAATTTGTCTAAATCATGCATATCAAGATTTAAAAGACATTCCTGAAAAATACATAGTTTTAACATTTTTATGTTTTATATAGAAAAATTATTTATAAAGGAAAAAAGGTTCTTGAAAATGTTTTCCTAATTATAAACAAAAAAAAAAAAAAAAAAGCATTAATGTTGAATTATTTTTTTTTTAATTTGTTTATCAATAACCAGATGAAGTAAATGTTTTAACTTAAAAGTACATGGTTATTTTTATTTTTTTTAAATCAAATACCAAAAATGGTAATGGCACTTTTTTAAAATAAATATGCTCTCAAACAAACATAAGAAAGCTCTTTTATATATAATAACATGAAAAAAATGATACTAGATACAGTCAGGAGAGGTGAGCAAAAAAATCTTTGTTTTGAAAATGTTCTACATGTAATCATCAATTTTTATCTTATGTTCTAAAGAAAATGGTTAAACAATTCTTTCACTTAATTTCTTTTTCAAATAAGTTGGCAGTATTTGAAGTATAAAATAAATTTTTTTAAATTTTACAAAATAATTTAAAATTCTGGTAAATGAATATATCCTTTTTTTAAATTTTTCTTATTTAAAACCTTTAACTTCGAATTCAGACAATGTGGCTACCAATGAAAGTATCTATATAAAGAAATGACAAAATATGAAGTTATCAATTTAGTAATAAAGAATTCTCTATTTAGAGATTTATTTGCATAAATTTTCTGACACCAAGGGAGCAGTAGTTTTACAGTGTTTATTATGCCTAGCTCTAATATACATAATGTAGATAAATTTTCAGACTGAATTACTTACAGGCAAAGCATCACTGTCATCTTCTCCAGTCATGTATTGCACCTTTACAGCAATGTTTCTTGCTGAGCCTTGACGGTTTACAAAGTTTAGATGCTTTGGATAAACATATAACAAATTTCTGAAAGAGAAAATAAGGTACACATGAAAATACTTTCTAGTGTTTATAAATTTTAATGGGGGGGCAGTGATTTTGAAGAATGTGTAATTAATGAATAAAAATTTATCAGCTTATAAATAATGATGGTCTAAAAGGATTTTTTAAAAAGTCTATAAATTTATATTAAAGAGTGTATAAGATATGTTTTCACCTCTTAGTTTTTCATTTCATATACAATTTACTAGTTTTGCTATATTTTCAAATATGTTATTAGTTTAGCTATATTAATAATGTTCAAATATTTAACATTCTTTTAGTTAAGTTTTTTAAATTACAATTGGATAATTTTAAGGTAAAAAAAAAAAAAAAAAAGTAAAAATATACCTGTAAGTTGTGTATGGTATATAAACCTCTTTTGATGGGAATTCTAAAACTTCTTTAGTTTCCCAATTATCTTTTAGCCTATCTTCAGGAAAAGGAGCAATTTTATATAACTCTGGAGTACGTGAGCAAACAACTTCCTCAGGACAGGGCAATGCATCCAACTTAAGAATGCCTGAAAGAAAAAAAAAATTAGATCACTAAATTAGAACCTAATTAAAGATGTTTGCAACAATTATGTAATAAGAGATTAACTGTAATTGAGAACATTGAACCAGTTTTTCAACAATCAAGATGAACTAAGAAAACTTAGATGAATGGTGTGACTACTTTTTCCCTTTTTTACTTGTACTATTTCTAAATGACATGGTCTTACAGTTTAAAGTTAAAGACATAGTTTAAATTTAGCAAACTGTCAGATCAATTAAGCAAAGTTCTCCAAATCTCTGAATGTTAGCTGGTCAGTACTTTCTTGATTCACCAACTGGTGGACCAGAAATCTCAGTTTTTCAACAGTGGTGACAATTAGAACTAGCAATGCTCACAAAATTTTTTTTAGATTTTGCTATAAAATATAGGATATTTATAATAAAATATAAATTGATCAAAGACTTTTGGTTTTTAAATTATCGAAATTCATTCATAACTTTTTGAAATATAAGCATTTCAAGCCAGGGAAAAAAAAAAAACATTCCCAAAAATATTTTTTTGTGTTTTCATTAATAGAACTCCATTTAAAAAAAAAAAAAAAAACTGTTCAAGATAAAGCAATGAAAATGGAAATAAAATAAATGGTGAATGTCATGAAACCATTAAAAAGAAGATAGCTCAGCATTTGAGCACCTCATAATTCTTAATGAACTGACCCTCTTATTTGCTTAATTTGCAATCACTCTCAACCAATCTTCCAAAATGAAGTATTTATCAGTTTATCATCCACACAGGTGGAGAACAGTAACAAAAAAAACATTTACTAAGAAGTTTAGAAGCTTCATTAATAACTAAAAAGTACATTGTAGTGTCATAAATATTTTAAAAGCAAGGAAAAATATGAAGCCGAAAACCAAGGTTGGGAACAATCTCAGATTAAACTGTTGAATATATGCCCACATATTTCTTCACAAAAATGTTTATATAGACATAAGTAAATCAATATATTTTTAGAAATATAAGGACTTGTAAATCGGTTAATTATTTGATTTTTAAAATCAATGCATGTTTTATTGTTTTCATCAAAAAAACCTTTCCATGCAATAATACACAAGGAACACCCTGTTACATGAAGTAAACAACTTTTCAAATGCTAACTTCAGATTTTATTGAATGTAAAAAGAAATATCAGGTACCCTTCAGTCTTCCTTCTAACTAATGACAAAAAATTATGATAACATTAATTTTAATACAAGTTTTCAATGCTTTATGGCTAGCACTGTATTTTTGTTTAAAAAACTGAGCGTAGCTAAAAATCAACAAATAAGCAATTTATTAGATGATTTTAATGTCAATCAAAGGCTGAATTCAGAATTGTTATTATAATAATTAATAATAATAGTAATAATCTCTAAGGGAAAGGTTTTATGAGCAATCTATGAATTAATCTGACATTGGATTTGTTTAATAAAATTTATCACTCAAAAAGGATAATTGAAAACAAGTCTGGAAATGTTTACAATTATTAAGTTAAAAGTAAGTAACCATTATTATTATTGTGCACCTGATTTGTTTTAATTCAAGTTTCGATAAGATTTAAATATATTTTTCAAATATTTTCAAACAAACAAATCATTTTTCCTACTTAAAAAGACAACGGTTATTCATGATGTTAAAATGTAAACACACTGAAGTTATGTTTAAAAAATTAACTAACATTTTTTTTTATAATACGATAGTGCATATTTTACTTAAGTTATTCCCTTAAATTTTTTAGGCCAGTCAATTATAGAAGTGCTTTTTCATCGACAAATGAAATGTTTAAACTTAAATTTCTAGTCACAATATCTCCCTCACCATAATGAAAAATGTTGTCAAGGCGGCAGCTTTAAGGGGCAAGAACAAACGGATACTTTTCAGTAAATCTTTGTTGATGGTGTGCACTTGTTATGGATTTCTAAAGAACTTTCTGGACAGATATTTATAATTAAATGAAAATAAATTTCAAAACGCCTGTTTCACCAATTTAAATGTTCAAATTTGTTTTATGAAAACTTACTGAACCACAGCATTCAAACTTTGATAACCAATTACAACTAAACTATTCGACGAACCAAACCCAAACATATTACCTTAAACAGCATTCTTTCCTTGATTTTTAAAGCCAAATTTGACCAATTCTTGCGACTGTGTACTTTGAAATCGAGCTAAACATACTAGTACCCTTTATTGCATTCAACCAAAATCGAAAAAAATGGTTTTCTGATATTCATCATTTTTTTTATCTCACCAATAAAAAGTTATAAAAACAAAATACAAATATAAACAATATTGATAAACTTATAGAAAAATCAATTTCCTTTCATTTGATGTATGTTTTGACAGGATTTTATGAGTGTCTTGCCAATGTAATACCTCTAAAAATGCCATTTTAGTGACGTTTTACAAGCAGTGAGCATTGCTAGTGCTAGTTTTATTGTTATCAAATTGATTCAACCAAGTTAATGTTTCTTTTGCAGATGTGCGCATGTGTAGGGTGTCATGATTATCTGCCCCCCCCCTCCAACACACACACTTTACACTCTCTCCTTAGTTTTTCCTCCTTTTCTTTTAAATGTAGCCAATTTGTTGCTACTTGATTTCCAGTTATTTTTTCTAGACATCGTGTGTGTGTGTGTTAAATATAACTAAATTTACTTATGACAATTGAAAGCTGGTAAATTAGTGAAAATAACTTATTTTGTGATTTAAATTTAAGAAAAAAAAATCTCATTTAAATTCCCATGTATTTTATTGTTCTTTCTATAAAAATATTGGCTGTTGGATAACTGTTACTGTAACTAATAACAAAAGACTAAACAAGAGTAAATAATCTCTACAGAAGATGAATACTGTGGATTGATTGATAGATTTGCATTTTCACAGCTTAACCTTTTGCTGGTTAAAGCCAGAAAATATTTCTAAATTGTAAGATTTAGGAGGGAGGTGGGAGATAATGATTTACTGATACAAGTCCTATTAATTAACTCATAGCTGAGAGCAAAAGATCCATTACATCACCCACACATCCAAGCTTACAGACCTAGTATTCCCAAGGGTTCACCCATCTAGGTGCTGCCCAGGCTTGATGTGATCAGATGAGAACAGTGTTTCAAAATGATATGGCTGTAAGCCAAAAACTGTGGAAACAATAATATTGATGAAGTGGATTTAACATGCCCTAATAGATAAAGTAACAATCAGTTTTATAAAATTTACAGAAAAAGAATTTGGCAAGAAAAGAATACTTGATACAAGTGAAAAGCAAAAAGTTTGTGTGAAGAAAGTAACTGGAATGAGTAGGCATCACTGAAAATAATTAATCTAAGTGAAATTGTTACCTGGTATAGCCTTGAGCCGTTTTAGCACTGATGACGGCCTCTTCATATCAGCCAGAAACTTGTACAAATCTTCATCACTCAGCTTATCACTTTCCTATGAAACAATATTGAAGAATTGTTATAGCAACAATGAAATAGACATTTTAGGCTTGTTTTTACTGAATTTGATTATCAAATGAATGACTATAGTTATTTCAAACTTTTAAAATGTTAAAATATATTCATACATATATTAAAAAGATATAAAATTGTTTTTCTATATTCAAATGTTATTAACCAGTGGATGTTATTCTGATGATACAGAAAAGAAATGATAAAATATTAATTGGATTCAAGTCTTATGTATAACAATTTCATATGAACATCCTTTTCAAAGTAATTTTCATGGTTTACATTATTTTTTCCATATCTTTTTAGCATTTGAAAACCTAAAAATATAGCAAGTTTCTGTACACTGATAATTTACCAAAAAAAAAAAAAAAAAAAAAAATTTAGAATCATTCTTAAGAATCAGGATTTTGAAAACGTATAATGAAACAAAGTTGATTGTAATGAAATTGTTAATGCAAAAGCATATTTAATAGACAAGAAGACAATATTTCATAATCATACAGTTTCTTTTTTTTTTTTTAATATTTTGATTATTCTAAAATAAGTTTCAAAAAATAATGTATCACTTATATTAATAAAGTCAAGCAACTCTAACAAACTTGACACAAATCAAAAATAAATTATAAATTTACTAGAAGAAAAAAAAATTATTATATTAGGATATGAGCTTTGATTAGTCAAGGGGTCAGGAGTTCAATCTCTGTATCAGGTAGTGAAACAATATAGTCTGGTTCAGTAGGAACAAACAAGAAACTGTATATCAGGGACAAAAATAACAATCAATACATGATATCTCATTTTGACAAAAATAATGGGCACCTCAAGATGGCAAAAGAGTACTTCACTGAAACTTGTCTATCATAATACCTATAACAATCAAAGATGAGAAAAATAATTAGAATAAATCAAAATATAATGTAAATATTAGTCATATGCTTACTTGCTTAAAGAAGCTTGAGACAGTCAATGTGACAGGAGAAAATGTGTCAAGACTTGAGCCGTAATCGTCAGGGGACCAACTGCGCCGCTTCTCATAACCTGTACGTCCCCTATCAAGTGAGCCTCGTCGTACCTGTGAGTCATCACGTGGTCTTCTACGGAAACTTTCATAAGGAGGAGCATGCGCAGCACTTCTTCTGTCTGTGTACAGAACAAACAGTTTTATGATAGCTATGCAGAGTATAAATGTTGAAAGCATTTAATATGCAGATAGGAACTAAGACTGAAAAGTAGCATTATATCAGTAAAAAGAAAAGAAAAAGTTAACTTTAAAGAAATTTGAACATTCCAACAATAAAAGCTTTTGATTTTCTTTTGAAATGTCAATCATCAATTCACAAAATAAATATCCATGGCCAAAATTAAATGTTAGCAAATAAATAAATGCATTCTCCCTTTACTTATGAAAAATTTTACTTTTTCAAATTTTGTTTTAGAAGGTAATTGATCCCTTTTCTTTTTACGTTATATTCATTAACAGAATAACTGTAATAATTACTGTTACAATCAAACAGTAAACAAAAACCCTGATGTTTTTAATAATAATTTCCACTTATCTTAATAAGTGAAAATGTGCAATGTTAATTTTATTTTTATACATTGCTATTCACCAACAACTGAATAAAGAGGAATACATTATCTTAAAATAAACATTTTGTAGGAATCAAATAAATGGTCATTTTTGCATCACTCCTTCCTGATAGTCTATTGATCACCTTAAAGGTCTGACTATTATTTATTATTTACATTCATACTAATATCCTTACATTTGTTGTTGTTATCACAATGTTTTGTTTATTGTCCCCACCAGACTTCTTTAGGCGTCAACAGGCAACATTCAAGGAGATATCAAACTGAACCCTTTATTTAATCTATAGGGGTAGATTTTTTCAGGCCACTGTCCATGTCTGGGGACATCACGGCTCGTTCGTATTTGATACAACTCAGTTATAACTCACTGTTTTTATTGAGTCTATATCTGTACTAATGGACACAGGGATTGAACTCACAATTACTATGCCAACCAATTCACAAACCAATACTTTAATCCACTCGGCTACTGTGATAACAACAACAAAGATATTAATCCAAGTGTAAACAATGATAACTCCTCATCTTAAAAATTTAAACAGAAAGGTTATCAAAGCAAAAATGAATTAAAATGATTTTTGTCTCTACGCTCCATGAATTGAAATTGATATCACACTGGTGTAACTCATTGTTTGGTCACTGGAGTGAATGAAAACTTAAACAGCTAAGAGTCATTTGATACAGATCAATAAACTGAAGAAAATACACATGTACTTACTCAATGAATGATTTGGTTGATGATCAACACCTGACATTGATACATGCTGCAATTTACTTGTTTGGTTTAAAAAAAAAAAAAAAAAAAAGAGCCTTTTCTTAATATAATACTGTGCTTACTGTTGACAAAAAGTAATTTCTATACGATAATCATAAATATGGTTTACTCTGGGGTCAACAAACTTGCTTTTGCACAACCTGCTCAAAACCAAGTCTTCACCCCCAAAAGATCCTCCCGATTATTTGATGGCACTGTAATGGAGTAATGCATGAAAGCCTCTTGCAGCCGAGACAGATCATCTTGATTTGGAACCAAGACATCAGAAATTGCAAACATTTTGATTAGCAGTGGTGAAGAGAGAAGCACCTACCTTGCTGAAGGATAACATAAGACTTTATATTGCAAAAACCACTCAGCAAAAACTTATGTAATTAGGCACTGAGGTTTTGCCCCACTGTCCCTATTCACCACCTGATCAGGCCCTAGCAATTATTTTTCCAATCTTTAGAGGAATAGACATGCTAGCAGGTACACAATACAGACAAATTATAGAGTCCCATGATCCTAGTTTTTACTGTGATAGAATTCACTGTAGGATCATTGAAAACATCATGTCGATTCTAAGGGTGCATGCTTTGATTAGTCAGGTTGCTTTTAAAGACTTTTTAAGATTTATAGCTTAAAACAACCATTTATTTTGTTCCAACCTGATATTTAGATTCTACAAAGTCTACCAAAATAGACTGAGCATAACTTTGTTCATAATTATTATGTAAGTGGTTTGTAGTTATATTATTTTTTTATTTAAAGAATCAATTAATAAGACTATTCCTTATGATAATTAAAAAAGAATACATTAAACAGTGTTGTCACAGTTTAATTATATCATATCAAAATACAGCAAGTGAAAATGTCATAATTGTTTAGCAATCTGAATAAGATTCCAGTAATATTTAAAAACAATTTTTCTAAAATAACTTTTGAACAATCTGATATTGTGTCATAAAAATAAATATAACAGTAGAACTAATGAAGACCAAAAAAAAAAAAAAAAAAAATTACATAAAAAGGGAGACAACTTTGTAACTAACTTTTTTTTTTTTTTTTTTTTTAATTCGTAAGACAGCAAACACAAAAAGCAAGGAAAATACTGTGAGTGTAAATAAGGATAAAAAGTAAAAGGAAATAGTGGCGCCAATTTTTAAATTGATAACTTATCAAGATACCAGTTATAAATTTTTGGCCTTCCAAGTATTAGTTCATAGAGTTGATAACTGTAAATTAAAATAATCTGAAAACAGCATTGAATTTTAGTCCTGACAGTCAATATGTTTCCACAAGATTAAATAAAATACTTCAAATTTTACATTGAATTCATTTTGAAGCAAATTTTTCAGCACAAAAAATTATTTTGTAAGATATATACAAAAAAGCAAACAAAGACAATGCTACAAAGGACAAACTGAGGACATCTTATTTACATTGCCTTGTCTTAGCACAATTATAACATACAATTGACAGACATTACCAAAACATACAAGAAACAAAGAGATTCTTAATAGGACACAATAACAAAAATAGAATACATATCAGCCAGAATAGAAGTAAAACATTAATTTTAAGCTAAACTTTTCAAAATTAATCACAAAATGAGTACAGAAATGGCATTCAGCAAAATAAATTTATCATATTTCATATCATATAAAACCCTAAAATTTGAAAATTTGCTAGGCTATTATTTACCTAGACACTAGAGTCTAGTTACAAACACTGGTAGTCTAACTACATAATATTGTAATGTTAAATATAAATGCAGGGATGGGGTGATATAAAGAAAAACAAAAAAAAAAAACCAAGCAAGGCAAGATGCAAGGTAAAAGAATAAAAAAAAAAAAAAAAGAGCGAAAAAAGATGTAATCAAATATGGTAGTTTTATTTTCAGAATAAACCCACTTTAACTGGCCTAAGCCAATTAAAAAAGTAAAAATATTTTTAATCTTTCATAATTTCTAAAATTTGTTTATCTAGAAATTCACACTGACAACGTAGTCCAGTCAAACAACACATTTCATCAAATAAATGACCAAATGTGGAAATGTAAATCTGAGACAATATCTAAATCACAGCTATTTGAGGTTTCCTACAGACCCACTGAACTTAAATAAAGTCAATTCAGGTTTCCTATGGTAAAAATTTTCTTTCCCAAGTGAAAATCATCACAAAAATAGCAAAAGTCATTTTGTCACAGCTTATTTTCTCTCAAAATATGGGTTTTCATACTTTTTTAGGGGTAAAATATTGAAAAATGACTGTTTTATCATCACCTAAACTAATATCAAGGAAACTTTTAATCTGAACCCCATGAAACTAGGTATTTTCTGAAAGCAAAAGATATATTCTTTCATTTAAAAGTAAAATTAGCTGGTGTAAATGACTCAAAATTTTTTTCAGTGGGTAAAATGTGAAAAAATAGTGAAAATTTTGCATTTTTTTCTTGTTCTAAACAAATATTTCCCCCATTAATGGGAAATTAATCATTTTTTTTTTTTTTTTTTTTGAAAATCAGAAAGCCTAAATCATAATGAAACTATTTCAGGCATAAAATTGAGAGTTTTGAAGGAAATCAACATTCCTAGGGGTTCAAAATGCGACAAAAATCCATTGTTAATTTTCAATTATATGACTGCCAAGGGTTAAAAAATTGACACCTGGCCACGGAAATCTTTAGTAAAAGGCAAGAGATTTATCTGCAATTCCTAACCACCAGAAACCAAAAAGTTTTTTTTTTTCCTAAAATAGCGATACGGGAAAAATAAACCCTAACTTTGACGTCTAGGTCAAAGGCCAGCCAGCCAGCCAGCCAGCCAGCCAGCAATAAACGGACGGCAAACCTTAGAACAAGTTGTAATAAAACCCACCACTCCCAGATAAAAAGCAAAGAGTGAAAAAAAAAAAAAAAGGTTCACAATTACTAGGGCTTCATACAACCTATGTTTGAACAATGGCTTGATGAGTTTACTTTTGTTTTGTTTTTTAACACCCCATGACCCGGTGATGACAACAACACTTAGCAGCCGATATTGTTTTTTTTTTTTTCACCAGATATCTTTTCAGATTTCCCATCGCCGGTCCATTTAGCCTTTTTTTATTCAATGATGTTCATGCCAAATGAAAGAGAAAGGAATGAATTTTGAATGATGTTATTTTGAAGCGAAAATAAATATTTTTTCATAAAAAAAGGGATTTTCTCAGAAAATTGGGCATAATTTCTTAATGCTAACCGCCGAGTGACATTTTCCACAGCCAAATCAAAGATTAATTACCAGTGAATAATTCCATGTGCAAAAAATAGCTGTCTGGATCCTATAAGGTCGCCCTAAAAGGTCCAGAAGTTTACTAATTGATCGAAAACCTGTTAAGATAATTGTATTTTTCTCGGTCAGTTTCCATTATTTCATCTTGATATTACCATTTTCGGACAGCCAAGTCATCAAGGATTCAGGAAAACACTTTGGCATAGGTTTTCTTTAAGAACTTTACATTCTATGAGGTGTTTAAAATGTTACTAACGAATGAGATTTTTTGCCAAATATTTCGTTTACGCGCTATGTTGGATTTTCCTATATGACAAAAACAAGGGTTTTAAACAGCTGTGAAATGTATAGCTATATAAATATGCAAAAAAAAAAAAAAAAAAAAAAAAATTGTGCAGAGGGTCAAAAAAGTTGTTTTTAACACATTATAGTAAAAATTTGAATATTCTTAAAGATAAAAAGTGATAAATATGAAAACACAGTTGATTTCTGCTGATCACTGACCATAAACAACTTTTAGTGATATTTGGCCTTTCTTTAGAATCTAATGACATTAAGCAATTGGTGGAGAAAAAG